AAACCTCACTAGATCTTTGATTTCTCCAAATCCATAAACATTTTGACCCTAGCTCCTTGATTAAAGTTGGAAAACTCTCTGAGGGCTTCGTTGCGTGCAGTGGAGATTGGATTTCAACACCGTCAAATTTGAGGGTTTCTTCTCTCTTCTTCTTTAAAGCTTGAGTTAGGGATTTTCTTAGAGTTATATATATATATATATATTTGCAAGATTATGTTGATTTTGGTTCATGTGAAATGATAATTTCAAAAATGGGTTTACATCTTTTTTTTTTCTCTTACAATACTTAAGAGCTTGGCTACATTATGAGGAAGGATGCTTTGGGAAGAGATTCCCTCTTTGAAAGATGGAGAAATGTTTAGTTTTGGCAAAAACCTAGAATTTGGGATTTTATGAGAGATGTTGAAAATTTGTGAATATTTATCTATCACTATGTTAAAATGAATGAATGATTGAAAAATCTCTTGTTTTACTTAGCAAATGGCAAATTTTCTTAGAATATGAGAATTGTTGATTTTGGGAGATTATTGCTCAAAAATGTGACATAATCATGAAATGATTAATTTGTTGAGAATATGTGGGTGTGGAAATGTTATTGCTCTTGATGGGTTTATATGGATATATGATGATCTTGTGAAATGTATTGGAAAGAGAAATGGAAGTTTTTGACCACAAATGGAACATTTGTGTGGAAGTTTGGTAAATGGAAAGATGTGGCATCGCATGGATAACTATTGCATTGCATGGATAATTGTTGCATTGGCATTTCAATACTTTGCTTGTAATTAAATTTTGAATTGGGATTCGAAACTTTGCATTGAGAAAAAAACATTATCAAATGAGATTTATTGAAATGTTTTGGGGTAAATATGTTGGTAAGTCGGGATAGGAGGTGTAGATGAAATTGATTAAGTTGGCTTGAGTGTCCAGGGTGAAAGACGGAAAACACATGTGGAGGAGGTACCACGTGCCTTCCGGTTAGCTACCGAGAAAGTGAGGCTTTGATAGTGCTAGTTATGTCTACTTGCAGACACTAACCTAGGGATTACCTGAGTCGTATTTACTGCCCCTTAAACTAAATTGATAATTTTTGAATTGTTGAGATTTCAAGTTATCATTGAGCATGATGGTTTTCAAAAGATGTAAATGTGGTTTTCCTTCAAAAAGCATAGCATAGCATGGCATGTGCATTTCAGTTTGTGAAGCTTGTATAAATTGTATATACTTTGTTAAGAATTCTCTACTGGGCTTTATGCTCAACCCTATGGGATTTTGGTGCAGGAAAAGATGTGATGATCCCGCCAAGTTAGGGCGTGGATGTGTTTGTGGAGAGCAAATGGCTCTTATTTTTTGTTATGGTTTATTTGCTAGCCAAGGGCTATAAATGTATGGATCTGTGAAAACATTTTTTGTAACCAGACTTAAGCCTTGGAAATTGTAACCCTTGAGGGCATATATTTATTTATTTATGGATTTGATGTTCTATATGCTATAGATTCATGTACTTGATATTATTGAATCTATAATTTGCATGTAGAATTATTTTGTACAAACCTTAATGATCAATGATGTAAAGGTTGAAGAATCGCATCTTTTCTTATAATGAATGCTGGTTGATGTATTTTTATGATGTTAAAATTTTCGGGGCGTTACACATCCATCCATCTTTGTCTGTGTAAGGTAACAGAAGGGGTTTAAAGTGAAAAACACTGGGGTTTAAAATTTTAAAAAAAAAATGTGTGAAACCTTGGGGCTTTTTGTGTAATTAACCATTTTTTTAAAATTAAAATCACTAAAAAAAAGGGTTAATTACAAAATAAACCCCAAGATTTCACGTGTTTTTTTTACTTTAAATCCCAATATTTTTCACTTTAAACTACCTTTGTTACCTTGCACAAACGAAAATGGACGGATGGAACAAATTAAAACATGGATAGAACTCCTAAGTTTAATTTGTCAAAATTGAAACACTGGGATTTAAAATGAAAAACGTGTGAAACCTTAGGATTTTTTTTTGTAATTAATCCAAAAAATAATATACTAAAATAATATAGTACAAAAAAAAAACGTATTTATGAAATATAATTTTTAATAGTAAAATATATCCAAAACAATAAGGGTATTTATGAAATTTCATATAATTAATCTCATCATAAGATGACAAAACAAACATGAATCCTTCTTTGTCCGGTGGTCATCAAAAAATATAATTTTTTTTAATCCTCTCACTAATAAGCCCTATATTAACAATTACATCCAATTTAACTCTAAAAACAAATGGGCCCTTCACGCTAAAGTTAACAACTCTGTCAAGAACACAAGAACACTTAATTTCTCAATATTAGAGCCATTTAGTCCCTACATCTACTTGGTTTAAGAATGTGATTTTTACTAGCAATAGGTATCCAAGAATCATTTTTCTATTTTGATCTATTCAAAATGTTCAAATCATAGTTACTCGAAATCACATTCCCTTTCTTTCAAACTTAACTAGAGTAGATTGAATGGAGAAAATTTCCAAAGTTCGTACTACTACCAACGATTTTGTTAGTCTTTTTTTTTATTATTATTAAGTTACACAAATCATTCCTAAAGTATATCACCTATTTCATTTTAGTTCTTAATATTCAGTTTAACTTCACATATTAATTCAATGTAGTTCATCTCTTTAACTACCATATTTAAAACATATGAAAACGTGTTCATGTCAACCTTACATCAGGTATTTCTAGGGCGTTGGGAGAAAATTTTCTCATTTTTTAACTTGAATAATGAGATGTGAAACATATATCCAAGCCTTTCATTCAATCATTGAGAACCCAATGCATAATATGTTTGTTTTTTTAATTGAAGTAACATAAATAAACGTGTTAAAATGTCTTTAGTGTTTTTCAATACTTAATGTGAGGTTGATTTTTAGGCAGCAGTTAGAGGGAAATACATTAAATTAAGGCAATTTTTTTTTAAGGTCCTTGGTATTAAGATTTTATGGCATAAAGGACATCCAATATTTTCATAATGTCTAAGGTCCCTCAACATTGATCCAGAGAAAATTCAACCCAGAGAATTTCTCTGGACTTCCCAAAGAAATTCTCTCCAAAGAAATTTTGGAAATTTCTCTAGACTTCCCAATGATTTTCTCTCCAAAGAATCTACACTTTCCAGAGATTTTCTCTGGACCTCCCAGAGATTTTCTCTTCAGAGAAATTCTGGGAATTTCTTTGGACTTCCTAACGAATTTCTTTGGGTAATTTTTTCTGTTGTTGAATTTTTCTGGTTTGAACTCACAGAAATTTGAATTTTCTCTGGTTTGAATCAAAGAAATTGTTAATATCTACAATTCACTCTACATTTCAAGAGATTAAAATGCAGAAAAAGGACTCCATAGATAGCTACATTGAAGAAAAACTTCAATTTTCAAAATTTAAATAGAAGATAATACAGAGAGAATGGAAGAGAAATTCTTCCCAAACTCACATACCATTAGAATTTGTGTGGCTTTGTGTGGCTCTATCCAGAGAAAATTTGTGTGGCTTTGTATGGCTCTATCCAGAGAAAATTGTGTAGAGAAAATTTGTGTGGTTTTGTATGGCTCTATCTAGGGAAAATTTGTGTGGCTTTGCGTGGCTCTATCTAGAGAAAATTTGTGTGGCTTTGTGTGACTTTATCTAGAGAAAATTTGTGTGGCTCTTTTCCATTTTTCTCTGGTTTTTTGTTGTTTAATTTTCTTTGATTTTTTGTTGTTTAGTTTTCTGTGGACTACAAGACATTCACTCAACGACAAACCAGAGAAAATTGAACAACCATCATTTTGACCAATTTTCTCTGAACTGTAAAACATTCATACAATAGCAAACTAGAGAAAATTGAACAATAACAAACCAGAGAAAATTGAACAAACATCATTTTGACCAATTTTCTCTAAACTGTAAGACATTCATACTACAACAAATTAGAGAAAATTGAACAATCACCATTTTGACCAATTTTTTCTAGACTGTAAGACATTCATATAACAGCAAACCAGAGAAAATTGAACAATAACAAATCAGAGAAAATTGAACAACCACCATTTTGACCAATTTTCTCTAAACTGCAAGACATTTGTACAACAGCAAATTAGAAAAAATTGAACGACAACAAACCAGAGAATATCAGAGACCTACCAGCGAAAATCCAATACCAGAGAAATTTGAATAATCAGAACCAGAGAAATTTGAACAAACCAAAGACCTACCAGAGAAATTTGAACAAACCAATACATACCTTCCTTAATTCTAACTGTAACTGGGTCTGGTTGTTCAAATCTATGGTCTCATCGAACTAATCAAATTTATAAGCCAATTTGGCTTGGCCTTCTAAAAATTTTGCCTTTTTAAACTCTATTTAGATTATGTAGATCTAAAAAAAAAAATACTAAGATATTAAAAAAAATTCACTAAAAATAAAAAATATAAAAAATTCAAAACTCAAATTATTTTTAAAAACTCAAAACTAAATAGAAACAAAGTTAGTAAACAAGGCAAACCATGAGGATAAGAATAAATTCATCAAAACACCAACAAAACATGTATAAAAAACATTAAAACACAGCAATATTACTAGCATAACCATAATTCTCACAAAAAATTTGTTTAATGTGAACACACTTGTTTACAAATTGCAAAATAATACACATTTCATTCACCCATCCAACTTTCTGTTACTTTCTGTTGGTCTTTCAAATTAACAGATTTTCAAACACTCCAATGTTCTGTAGCTCTCAATATCATGACATTGAGCAAAGGTGGTTCAATGTTGCTCTTCATCATTAGCTCAAAGACACAAACATCACCCGCTAGTATATTGTTGTCCAGTGCAAATGAAATCCAACCAAGTTTGTGTTTTGGACCACGTTTCTTGCTATAGAACTTTGCAGACCATGTTCTCCCATCTGAAACCCTTAGTATGATACCACTCTGCTTCCCACTAAAATATTTATTTGCAAAGTCTAATGGTATATGCTGCAAGAAACCAAACAAAGTTTCTTACTTGTCTCAATAGAAAAAGGATTCAATTCCACCAAGAGTGAGGCGAAAAGTTGCTTCGTCGATTACTTGCCAGAAAGGTTGGTTCTTCTTCGACGAAACCAACCGGAGCTGAACAATCTAAGGCACTACAATCATATATTGCGTCGGTGGATTTGGGTTGGTGAATTTACAGATTCAGAGAGAGAATTACGTGAGGTTTATGAACTCAATTGCAATTTCGACTCTGAATTTGGATTTGGATTCGAATTTGGGTTTGGATTCCGATTCATTTTTGGAAGAGAGATTTGGGGATTTGATCAAGTGAGGTTTGGATTTAGAGAGAGAGAGAGAGAGAGAGAGAGAGAGAGAGAGAGAGAGAGAAACGAAATAAGGAAGACACAGAAAGAGAGAAATAAGATTTGATTTGAGAGAGTCAAATTTCACTGTGATATATGAGTGTAAAATTGAGGAACCTTAAACATTATAAAATAATATTGTGAATCTCTTCCATTACTAAAAAAAAGGAGAGAGACCTTAGACTAATTTTCCCTTTGAATAGTTTGCTCTAGAAAAAGTAAATAAGAAAAGTCAGAAAGCAAAATCGACTTATTAATGTGAGGAGAACCGACCCAAGGTCCCCAAAGTCTCCAGCATTCTTTGTCCAAGATGGAGAAAATATACCGTGAGTTGATTTTAAGGGAAGTGATTGGGAGCTCTAAATAATAGAGCACTAATAGCTCTAATGAGGTGGAAATGTAAAAAGAAAAAGAAACAAGAGAGACACCCATCACATCATGGGGGGAGTCAACTCATTAATGCTCTCCCTAGTACTCCATTTTTAGTGCTCCCAAGCATTTTTGTGATTTTAAACACTAAAGTAAGGATCCTAAAGTCCTTTGACCTTACCGCCTCGTTTGAATTGATATTATTTTAATAATTTTTTTAATTTTTTGATTAAAATATAAGATAAAAAAATTAATATATTTGAATATTTTTTAACTTGTCATGAAAAGATGTGCAAAAGGTAGGAAAAAAAATAATTTTTTAAACTTTTTTGTATAAATTGTTACTCCCTCCGTCTCAATTTGTTAGTCCCTTTTAGAGATTCTAACTTTTTAAGAGGGCATACAATCATTGCACTTAAATTTAAATTTCAAAATATTTTTCCAGTAATGCTCCTATCTTTTCAATTTTTTAATATATTTATAATTACTCAAAAATGGTAGTTTTGGAAAATCAAATGTTTTTTACTTTTGACTTTTCAAATGAAACTATCATTTTGGGACATTCCAAAACGGAATAGTGGATTAACAAAACTATAAGATCAAATAATACAAGACATAGTGGAGAGAAATTATAATGTTAACTTAGGTCTACCTAATACCGATAACTTGTATTAACTTCATGAATACTGTCTGACTCAGTAAGCCATCTTAATTTTCTAAACACTACGACGTAATAGTCTCGATCTTCGTTGTTGAACGACTTCAATTACTCAACTAGCTTGAGTGTAGAAGGAACAATGCCAAGATATTCCAAGGTTTTGAAAGGATTTTGTGAATTTTTTGAAATCAACTCATATATATTCTCTACAATACAAGAAATAGGCCCTATTTGGTAGAGCTTATTTCCAGCTTATTTCAGCTTTTAGCTTAATTTAAATTATTTTGATGTGTTTGGTTCAACTTAACAATACAGCTTATAGCTTTTTATAAGTCAAAAATCAACTTATTCTTTGAGTGGGGAGGAGAAGCTTAATTTATAAGTCAAAAATCAGCTTATGTTCATAGCTATAAGCTATAAGCTGTTAGGCTATAAGTTATAATCACTTTCCCACAGCTCTACCAAACGGGGCCATAATTTTGCAATGAAGAACAATAGTTGGAAAAACGAGTTATGAAAGCTTTTATATAGAAAAATCAATATCCAAAATCAATAAAGAAAATATTCAATAAAAATTGGGGAAGCGATCGATTACTCTATACAAAGCAATCTATCACTCACTCCCAAAGGGATTGATTGCCTAGTGATTGATAGCTACTGTTCCAAAATTGTGATAGCTTGCCGATCAATCACCTATTGAATATCGCTATCCACTGTTGAAAGTGCAATTGATCACCCCACTTCAATTAGAGCTAATTTTGCATGCAATTTCAAACCAAATTTTTGTATTTGATTCAAACTCTTTTTTCAAAATTAACTATGGGAATGGGGTTACCTTGGGGTTTGAAATGAACTCCTCAAACAGGTTCCATCTACATCTTTGACAAACATAGTGGACATAGGCCGATGGAGATAACTGTGCCCATTTTGAAAAATGTTCCCCCAAAATTCCTTAATCACACAAGGCAATTCAAACTTTTGACTTCAAAATTCACAAAGGGACTGTTTGTTGCTTTTGGGGTGATTATAATTTATTTTAATTTGGCAGTCTGCTTATAACTTATTAGGCAGAAATAGCTTAAATAAGTTTAAAAAAACTAATTATTTAGAAGTTAAAGTAGAGGTGCCTTTACCTTCTATTTTCCGATTATCAACTTTTAACTTGAAAAAAACTCCATCAGACAAGACCAAAGCCAATCTTCTTAATTTCACCTCTACCATCACAATCACCAACCAATGACCAAGAAAGTATGTGAGTGCAAATTAATGCGTGGATATGATAAAATTTAAAAATAAATATAATATAAGTATGATTTGATGTGTATAAAAAATAATTTTTTATAATTTTTAATAATGCATAACATTCAATAATTAAAAGAATTAAATACAAGAGATAGTAAAAATATTATAGTAAAGTGTTGTAGTCTAACCGTAATCAATTCTTTAAAAAAATAAAAATAAATTTAGGACTTATCATGTCACATAAAAAACCTCATATTCATATTCTGGTAATATAATAACAAGTGTATGAGCTTACCAACCCTCAAAAATAAATATATCCAATTATCAAAAGGTCAAATGGTGTAATATACACTATGAAGGATTTTCACATTCACACCATGGAAAAATAAATTGGCCTACTATATATAAACCCTCCAGAGGTACATGAAACAATGCTCCAACAAAATCAAAACAGCCAAAACAAAGCTTTTAGCAATGGCCAAACTACTAGACTACCTTACTCTTCCACTCTTAGCTGCTTTGGTGGTTGTTCTGCTACCATCATCTTCCAAAGCTCAACCACCACCACCAAAGTCACAACTTGAGGCTCTTCTCTAATGGAAACAAAGTCTAGCCAACCAATCAATCCTCAGCTCATGGGTCAACCATGCATGTCACGCCCTCAAAATAAACCCATAATAACCTTAACATTAACATGCATTTATACATCTAAAATCAACCAACCTGTAACAGACCCGCCCAACACAACCTATACTTCAAATACAAAGAGATTAAAGGACAACAACAACCAATAAGTAATGACAGGATCCTCAGAACCTAAGTCCGGATACAATAATTTAAAGAGAAAAGACCAGGGTCGCTATAATGCATATGAAATTAACAACTCTTTTACACCTTCAACAAGTAGCCCATGCAATAATTGGCTTGGAATATCATGTAACAAAGCAGGAAATGTAACTGGAACAGACCTTTCATACAAAGACTTACAAGGTGTTAGATATCACCCCATGTGAGGAGTGATTCTCTTCTCCATGTGCTGCAGCATGTGCCAACCGATAAGCCGTAATGGACGGCCACCGAAAGGAGAAGACGAGGGCTGGCAGCCAGCTCACATGGAAGACTCTCTCTCTTACCATTATGTGTATAAATAGAGAGGGTGAGAGAGGGGGAAGAGAGAGAGAGGAAACAAGAGAGAGTGAGAGATGTGATGCAGAAAGACCGTCTCTCTCGGTGTAAGAGAACGAGACGGATGAGTGGGTGAGTGAAGAGAGTGTGAGCTTCTCCTCTATTGTAATCTTTCTGTAATCTGTCCATTGTTATAGTGATAACCGGCTACTTTCTCGTGGACGTAGGCATTGAGGCCAAACCACGTTAAATATGGTGTCTTCTCGAGTGTAGGTGTGTTTTTTTGCTTAGTATAATTTCTGCAAGGTTTTGGACGGGATTCCCGATCCCCAACAAGTGGTATCAAAGCTTGGGTGAAGGAAAAACAGTGTGTTTTTCGAAATGGCCCAGAAATCAAGTTTCTTAAAATCAAGTTTTTAGCAAACCAGGAGGGAAGGTCTCGACGAAAGGAATCTAAACCCAGAAAAACGAGCTCAAACAGAGACTGGGGTGGATCTCACGCGCCCTCTGAAAATGGCTAGTGAGGACCACTCTTGGACATGTGCCACACGCGTAGCGAGAGGTTTCACCAAAGCCGTAGTGTTTAAATATACTTTTAGGAAAGTATAACACGTGGGTCGTTCTAGCGCAGTGGATAAAGGGCACAGAGGCAAATGGTCAGGAGTTCGAATCCCTTGCAGTGGAAGGGGATTATTTTTTTCAGAAAAAATAAAAATAAAAAATGGAGGCTAATGCAGTGATGACGTTAGCATGATGAGGGGATGACGCGAGGATGACTTCAGCAGATGCAATATTCCTGATAATAACGGAATATTCTCTGACGAATTCTGGAAATTATTGAATGGCCCACAATTTTTCTGAAATTTCGTACTGGCCCCCGGAAGTTTGGTAAATTGCAATCTGGTTCCTAAAGTTTTCAAAAATTATAATTTGGTCCCTGAATTTTTAGAAATTTTTATTGTGGCCCCTATAGTTTGTGAAATCACAGTTTGGCCCAAGGTGTTTGGAAAATTAGCAATTTAGCCCCTGGTTTTTGGGGTTATTTTCAGTTTGGCCCCTGAAGAGGAAGAAAGTGGGTTTCTAGCTAAACACGACGTTTCAGACGCAACCGCAAGGTCAGAATAGTGAGATTCTGAATGGTTTTTTGAAGATTGTCAAAACACAAGGGTTTGTCATCTTTAATAGTCGAAGGGAGGTTGCTGGATATTGTGGAACACTGTGGATTCACTGAAGAGGTTAGAATATGCAGATTCTAACCAGATTGGACAACCATATACAGATCGAGATAGATCATTGGAGACCAAAGGAGATCAGGCTTGATCAAATAGCAGATCAAAGGAGATCGGGATTGGTTAGGGGCGATTAGATGATTGCAGAGATAATTATCTCCGGAGTTGATCGGCGGAAGATCTTGTTCAATCAAAAGAGAAGACCATTCATCAACGTATAGATGATTTGGCAACAAGTACAGGCTTAAGGGAATGCTGTGGCTGTTGGAGCTACTGTATACGAGTAGGTACTGGTGGTATGTGAACATGTAGAACAACAGTTACAGAGGAGCATACTAAGTGCAGAAGCACAAATGCAGACGTGTAGCAGTGCAAGGGTACACTAGAGTGTCGTACAGAGGCGCGAGAATAGTGTGTAGCAACGGGTTGTTGAAAGTTCACAGGAACTTCTAGACAGAGAAATTAAGACAGATAAAACGCAAGAGTGCATACCAAGGAATGGAAAGTCTCTTTTCTCTATGGTGCTTTCTTGAGTTCCATGGCAGCGAATGATAGAGTTGATGCGGATCTCTCAGGCGAGCTCGACGCAGGGAGACCAGAAGCCATGGGTGCGAGCACTATGTAAGGAATTGCATAGCTGACGATGCTTTGAAAAATGGAGCTACTGCCAACCATCAATCTACTAGACAACAAATCAGGGATTGCAAAAGCACAGACAACAAGCGTATATGGAAACTGTAGTAGGTTGTTCAGAAGTGCAGAGGGCAAAGGCTGATAGTTCAGAAGGAAGAGCTCCAAGCAAAGAAAACCGAGGACGTTGATGGGATAAACGACGAGTTTTCTATTGCTCCAATGACTGGTCCTGTGAGGTAATACATGATAGTCAAGGGCATCCCAGCAGAGGGTGCAGGACATCCAATCAGGGGGTGTTGAATATCTTGGTTACGCAAGTTCAAGCATAACAAGTGAAGGCATCCAAGACAGGAAGCGTGGAAGAGATATGTAGGAGATAGGAGTAGAGGCTCTCTCTCCAAATCAGAGAGTGGTGTGAGTTAAGTTGAGGATGTAGGATTCCCTCTTCCTCTTGTATCTCTGGTGTATTATCTCTAGCTTTAGGGGATGCAAGTGTCTCAATGAGGAGATGCCGATTTTTTGGCCTTGATAGAGCGTGACAAGATTAGCAACAATGTGTGTAGTGGATCACCTTACATGGGTTGAGGGGGTGATTTGTTAGATATCACCCCATATGAGGGGTGATTCTCTTCTTCATATGCTGCAGCATGTGCCAACCAACAAGCCGTAATGGACAGCCACTGAAAAGAGAAGAAGAAAGCTGGCAGTCAGCTCACATGGAAAACTCTCTCTCTTACCATTATGTGTATAAATGGAGAGGGCGAGAGAGGGGGAAAAGAGAGAGAGAGAGAGAGAGAGCAAACAAGAAAGAGTCAGAGATGTGAGGCAGAGAGACCGTCTCTCTCGGTGTGAGAGAGCGAGATGGATGAGTGGGTGAGTGAGGAGAGTGTAAGCTCCTCCTCTATTGTAATCTTTCTGTAATCTCTCCATTGTTATAGTGATAACCAGCTACTCTCCCGTGGACGTAGGCATTGAGGCCAAACCACGTTAAATATGGTGTCTCCTTGAGTGTGGGTGTGTTTGTCTGCTTGGTATATTTTTTGGAAGGTCTTGGACGGGATCCCCGATCCCCAACACAAGATACCCTTGAACTTCTAGATTTCACTTACTTTCCAGACCTCCTTCATCTTGATCTCAAACTCAACTGACTCACTGGCACCATACCTCCTAATATACGTGTACTATCAAAATTGGAATTTCTTGCTATCTCTGTCAATTCTTTTACTAGTTCTCTTCCTCTTTCGCTCACAAATCTTACTAAGGTTGTCGAGCTTGATCTCTTCCGAAACAGTACAACTGGTGAACTTGACCAGCGATTTTTCCCAAACAGGTCAAGTTCGGGTACAACTGGCATGTTTTGTCTCCAAAGGCTACTCCTCCAAGATACTTTGCTTGGTGGGCAACTTCCATCACAGTTGGGGAATTTGAAGCATTTCACTATTCTAGCACTAGATAACAACAAGTTTTTGGGTCAAATTCCAACATCTTTGGGTAACTTGATCAACATATCCTACTTACACCTCAACCAAAACCAATTTTCCAGCCAAATTCCCAGAAATTTTGGTAACTTGAGCAAGTTAACTGATCTGAGCCTATTTGCAAATCAGTTATCTGGTTCAGTATCGAAAGAAATAGGAAATCTTTCATCGCTTGTAGCTCTCCATTTTACACAGAACAAGTTCACTGGCCACTTGCCTCAGCAAGTTTGTCAAGGTCACAAGCTTGTGACCTTCACAGCAGCCTACAATTTTTTCACCAGTCCTATCCCGATAAGCCTCAGAAACTACACAACCTTATTTAGAGTTCGGCTTGAATATAACCAACTAACCGGTGATCTAGACCGTGATTTTGGAGTGTACCCAAACCTCAATTACATTGACTTGAGCCACAACCAACTGCAAGGGAAGCTCTCACCCAAATGGGCACAATGTCGAAATGTGACACTCTTGAAAATTGCCGGGAATATGATTGGAGGTGAAATCCCAGATACAATTGTTGAATTGGACCAAATAGTTGTGTTTGATCTTTCCTCAAATCAATTTTCTGGGAAAATACCAACACAAGTGGAAAAATTGTCTAAATTGTCCTCCTTAAGCCTGAAAGATAACAGAATTATGGGTCAAATACCTTCAGGAATTGGGGGACTAACCAATCTTGCATATCTTCACCTCTCAATCAGCATCCTAAGTGGTTCAATTCCAGATCAAATAGGGGACTGCTTACGATTGCAATTCTTGAGTTTGAGCAAGAATCGGTTAAATGGTGGCATCCCATTGGGGATTGGTAATCTTGTTGGATTACAAACTTTACTTGATCTGAGTTACAACTCACTTTCTGCAGAGATAACACCTCAACTTGGGAAGCTTACAAGTCTAGAAAGTTTGAACCTCTCGCACAACATTTTCTCTGGTTCCATACCCAACGCCATAGGTGAAATGATCAGCGTCTCTGCCATTGACTTGTCTTTCAATGATCTTGTGGGTCCTCTTCCTAATGGAAAGGCCTTTAAATTGTCTGCTCCACAGGCCTTTGTTAATAACAAAAATTTATGTGGCGAAGTCCAAGGTTTGAGGCCATAACACCACATTTCTCGAAAGTAGTAGGTGAAAATCAGACACTCTCATCAAATCATTATCATAGTCACCTCTGTTTTGGGTTCGTTGTTTTTGATGCTTTTGGTTTTTGGGATTACTACACTTTACAAGCAAGGAAACCGGAGGAATCTGAAAGAAGATGAATCCCCTCTTCAGCGAGAAAATATATTTTCAGTGTGGAATTTTGATGGGAAAATTTTGTATAAAGACATAATCACTGCAACAGAAGATTTCAATGATGTGTTCTGCATTGGAGTTGGAGGAACAACGAGAGTTTACAAAGCGGAGTTACCAAGTGGCAAATTAGTTGCAGTGAAAAGGCTGAGCTCGGCAAAGGAAAGCATGGAAGTAGAAGACATGGGTAGTTTTGCAAATGAAATCGCAACACTAGCAGAAATAAGACATCGGAACATTGTGAAGCTCTATGGATTTTGTTGCCATGAAAGGCACACATTTTTGGTTTGTGAGCTCGTGGAAAGGGGAAGCTTGGAAAGTGTGCTAAGTAGTGAGAAAGAAGCAAAAGAGTTGGATTGGAGTAAGAGAATGAAAGTTGTTGAAGGGGTTGCTCATGCTTTGTCTTACCTGCATCATAATTGTGTGCTTCCGATAATTCACAGAGACATATCGAGTAGGAATGTTTTGTTGACTGCAGAATTGGAGGTTAAAGTCTCTGATTTTGGCATTGCAAGGTTTTTGAAGCCTGGTTCTTCAAATTGGACCACAGTTACAGGCACATATGGATACATTGCTCCAGGTGACTTCAACATATTCAACATATTTTTGTGATTAAACAAAATAGCCATTTCATATGAAGAGTTAAATGGAAATTTGACTCTCTCTCTCTTGCATATCTTCTATATTTATCAACTAATCATCTCACTTACACATCATTGGCTCTAAAGATTAGATCTAGAAAATACTTGTATATCATTTTCCTAGTGGGAAATGTTACGGGTAAGATATGGTAACTCACTTTTGTCAAGTAGTTGGGAGACAATGGATGACTCACTTAGTGTGAGTTAATGCTATAGGCGACGCTATATGGTGCTCTCCGTACTCGGGACTATTTAATAATTTTTTTAGACTCATACCTTTATTCATTTACCCGTAAAATATAAAATAAGAAATTCATTTATGTATAGTATTTTCCTTTAAATATTTATTTGGAAATATTATTGTCAAAATAAATTTAATATATATATGGGTAATTTACGATTACCATCCTTATAATTTACATAAAATCCTACTTCGCTCCATCTACTTTATTTTTTTGGTACACTAGAGGTTATAATTTGGAGAAGGGAAAGTCTTGCTTAACAAAACTCAAACACCTACCCTGCTAGTAAGGTGCAAGGGTTCTAACCAATTGTGCTGCTCTCAATTGGTTCTCTTTCCTTTTGATTGTGACGGTTAATTCATAAACTTTCAATATGTACAGGTTTATAAATCTAAGAGGTAAACTGATATTCATTAATAGTTAAAGAAGTGTTGATGTCATTAACCCATATAAAAAAGTATGAATTAAAAATTCAGAAACACTTTTTGAATATTCGAAAGTGAAAATGAAGTACTAGTTCTTTACAATTGTGAATGAGAACTCGTAACTTTTATTTATTTATTTATTTATTTATTTTTTGTGGGTTGTCGCAGAATTATCATATACAATGGCAATGACAGAAAAATGCGATGTGTATAGCTTCAGAGTATTGGCACTAGAAGTTTTGATGGGATCGCATCCGGGAACTCTCATTTCAAATCTAACCTCACTGGTGGATCAAGGAATACAACTTAAAGATGTGTTAGATCCTCGTCTTTCGCCTCCTACAACTCAAAAGCTTGTAGATGAGCTAACATCTATTGTAAACCTAGCACTATGGTGCTTACGTGCTGATCCTAAATCTCGCCCTACCGTGCATGTTGCATCTGAGTTGCTCGAAATGCATGCTGGTGATGACTAGATTTCTCTGTGTGCTCGCACATGCATATACATGAAGTACATAATTGTATATAGGTTAAATATCCTGTTAGTTTAAAAAATATACAATCTGTTTCATTTTGAATAGAATATCAACATCATTTTCATCCAATTTTTGTTCGAAATTGAACAAAAATAATTATAAAATTTGGACTGTTACAAAATTTCTTTTAACAATTATTTTTGTTTCACTGATTGGCTGATAAAATCTTTTTTTGAATTCATAAGGATTGTTTTCTGAAAACCCAGTGTGATATAAACTTTTTATTTTTTATTTTTTTATGTGTTTAATTTATTGAATGCATAAAATATAATTTTTTTGGCAAAAGTATATGCTTACATGAATAAAAAAAAATATTTTATTGAAATACAGAAATATTTTTAAAAAATTGTTTTTGGTGACAATTTAATTTTGTCATCGAAGGGGTCATATTACTGAAATTTGCTCAAAACATACAAACTTTTAGCAACCAAATACTTTTGTAAGCAAGACATTAGGGTGTGGTCCAATGGTCTAGTAACTATACCTTAAAGTACAGTGAGTGGGAAATCAAAGGCTCAAGTTGATGAAGCAATTGTGGCCTTTCAATTACACTAACACACTAACGCTATCTTAAGGAGAGGAAAAAAAAAAAAAACTTCTTCTTTAAGCAATTTATTTTCTGAAAAGGCTTTGTCAACAGAGGCTTTACAAAAATAATCTTTCTAATATTGACGAGATTTTGTCGCCAGCTGAGCATTGCTAGGCACTAACATTAATCTAGCTGAGAGTCCCTGAGCATTGCTAGACACCAACAAAATTACCATAAAAATAACGGTAAACTATCAATATGTTTTAATAATTATACTTAATTCTTATCAAGTTCTATTGATAATAATTTCTAATAAAATCAGAGTTAAAGATAATTTTTTGTGATGATTTTTTGCATATAGCTAAAAATTGACAATTAGTGACTTTATTTGTCACAGATTTTATAAATTATCTCTATAACTTACAATTAGTGACTTTTTTGTGACAAATTTTTCAAACTGTCGTTAAAAGTAAAAAATTAGTGACGATTTCTTTAAATTGTCGCAAAAAATTAAACTTAGTAACATTTTTTGTAACCATTTTTAAATTGTTACTGAAAAAAATTCGTGACTTTTTTTAATAGTGTTTGATAAAAAAATCTTGTTAATTATCATAAGATACATTAAACAATAAATCTAACTATTAAAACTTATATGTAAATCCCCTAAAAATAATGTGAGTGGTGTGTAGTTTTTTTCCATAATTTTGTAGATACTCAAAGCATTTCTCGACTTGCTTTGGTTACTTTGGGCAATGACTTTTGTCATTGGTTATCATCACTTTCCTTTGGTATACATAAAGTCCGAGCTAAAAAATAATTTGTTCATATATTTTTTTAGTAGTGTGTAAACAATATATAAAATGTGATTAGTCTAAAAATATAAAATTGTAGAGACATATTTTATGAATAACAGTACGTGGTCAAGGTGACACCGAAGTATCAGCCGATGTGCCACATGGCCTGGTCATACGCCGAGGTGATCTCGACTAAGCCGAGGTTATCTGCGGAGATACCAGAATCCGAGATGAGCGGATAAGGGAAAAGAGTTCTAGAACAGGGGAGGATCTCAGTTTGGATAAAGATAAAACTCTTAGGGAGTTTATCCCAATCTAGCCAAGAGTCTAGGATGAGCATTGAGCCTGAGTCCATTGAAGTTAGGCTTCTATAGGGATTAGGTCAGTGCTAGCTATAAAAGCAGGGCACCCCCGTGGGTCTCAGGTATGTGGGATATACTGTAACCAGTAAGTTCTTTCTTGTGAGTTAAGCACAATTGGCTATCTTTGAGAGATAATTACTAACTTGATCGTCGGAGTGCCCTCGGGTGGACGAACCACTGTCGGATTCTTATCTTTTTGTGACAGGTTGTTCAGGCTTAATCTATTCTGCCGGTGCTCTCCTGTTCAGTTTTTCTGTTTGGTTGAGTGGTCAAAAATCAACACCCACAATTTGGCGCCGTCTGTGGAAACATAAGGAGAATAGATGGCCAACAACGGGCAGAAAGAAAAAGATCGGGGATGACATCCCTAGTGGGAGTGGTAAGCATGCCAACCTAAACACGGAGGAAGAAAACCATAACGAAGGATCACAGGATCAGAATCCCAGGGAGAAGGACGTCAGCCAAGAGGCAGACACACCGAAGAAATTAGGTCGACACGAGTATTACAACGAAAGCAACCTCCAGGTATGGAAAGATAGATGCTTGAGGAAGGATGGTGAGATGAAGGGAATGGCAAACAAGTTAGCAGACCGGCAATCGACTGCCAACTTCATGATGCAAAAAAATGTCATGCAGCCACCGTTTCCATTGAGGGACACGCCGATTTCAGCGGCCAAGAATGACGCCCAGAAAGGGGGTCAGATAGCAATCCCAGCAGTCCCTCAGCATGACAAGGTGAAGGAACGTTCATGTCAGCCTTTACGGGATGCCGGGTGAACAGAATCAATGAGAGGAGATTCTTAGAGGACGCCTTGTACCAAGGGAACTTATGTTAAGGAACATCGGCACATTCAGGGGAAGGAACTTTGTTTTGCCGTGGTGAATGAAGAGAAGTCCAAGAGGACGCATAACGAGACTGGGAGCAGCGCACCAAAGACGTTGAAGTCCGTTGACAGCCGAGCTCCCAGTCAGACTAAGGAGGATTTGATGGACTACCTCCAGAGGAAGCGATAGCATGCCGAGGTCACATCACCCGTCAAGCCGAGAACACCGTTCTTAGTAGAGTTGGATAGATTTGAGGCCCCAAAAAGGTTCCATATGCCTAGGTTTCAGATATATGACGGTAAGTCAGATTCGAACTTTCACATTGGCTTATACCTGAATTCAATGGCCTTATATATTGGAAATGAACTGTTGTTGTACAAGGTGTTCCCCTCATCCTTTGGGGAAATTGCATTGGATTGATTTCACAAGTTGCCAAAAGGAACTATGAAGAGTTGGGAGGGCCTAGCCGAGATATTCGTGGCCAGGTTTGTCACAAACAAGTTGCAACCATTAAGGGTAGACTTCCTGATGGCTTTGAAAATCGGCGAAGGTGAGAGTCTTAGGGCTTATGCCAAAAGGTATTATGAGGTGTTCAACCGAATACTCGAATGCAACCAGGAGTTGGCGGTCGTGTCTTTTAAGAACGGCCTGGAGGATAACTGCATGCTTCGAAATTCACTAGTAAAGACTCTGCCAAAGAGTATGGGGGAGCTCATGGCAAGGATTGAAAAATATGCCAGAGCAGAAGAGGATACACCAGGAGCAAAAGCACCGAAGCAGGTAAAAAGAAATGACTCGCCGAAGTGAGGCCGAGGTAATATTGGATTTAATAGACAAGAAATAGGACTAAGGGCTGCACAAGTAGTCACCACTGTGTTTCAGATCCCGGTTTATAAAGTACTAGAAAACATCAGGAACCAGCCGTACTATAGAGAGCCAGAGAGGATCCTTGGCGAATTTATAGAGAGAAATGTAGCGAAGCACTGCGCTTACCACAATGAAGATAGACACCTAACTTATAGTTGTAGAGCCCTAAAGGCACATTTCAAAGATCTAATCAAACAAGGTCACTTGAGGGGCCTAGTAGATGAGGCCAGAATGAGAGAAGAACAGGCGAAACTACCCCAGGCACCGCCAACACCACCTCCATCAGCACCACAACAGCAAGAAAGTGAACCTTTAGTGATCAATGTGATTCACTCGAGGATCAATGAGAATGAGGTGCGTAGGGAGACTCAAAGGGTAAAGCACTTACAACATATGTATCAGGTCCAGCAAAGGAGGCCTAGGATAGACGAGTGCCAGGGACCGATGGTATCCTTTACTGATGCAGACCTAGACATGGTGCAACATCTGCACAACGATGCTCTGGTAATAACCCTTAAAATTGGAGAATGCCAGGTAAGGCACATTCTGATTGACCAAAGCAGCTCATGTGACATCATGTATGTCAGATGTTATAAGGAGCTCGGCCTTCACCAAGATGATTTGGAGCAGTCCAACAGTCCACTGGTTGGGTTCAATGGAACGCCGACATAGCCCCTGGAAGCAATGAATTTGGAGGTGCAAGCAGGCACCAAGAAGGTAAGTACAGAGTTCACAGTAATTGACACCCCCTCCCCTTACAATGTTGTTTTGGGGAGGCCATGGTTGCACGCAATAAAGGTTGTTCCCTCAACACTGCACCAGCTGTTGCAGTTCCCAATAGAGCATGGAATTAAGGAGGTTAGAGAGGATCAGGTGCAGGCAAAGAATTGTTCCATGGCAGCAATGAAATCTGCTAGAAATAATAGAAATTGAGGACGGGGGCATGGAGGTCCTGGATGATGTCAGCAAAGAGCTGGCCGATAAAAGTGAGGAAGCCTTAAAGAAAATTCTAGTCCAACAAGGTGATAAAGAACGCTTCTTCCTTCTCAGCTCAGGACTGGCTGAGGAGGAAGAGGAAAGAGAGTTAGAGTCATTCTTGTGAGCAAACATAGATGTGTTTTCTTGGATGCCGTACAAGATGCATGGCATTGATCTCGAGATCACTTGCCATAGACTAAATGTGGACAGGTCGGCTAAGCCTATCATTCAGTGAGCAAGGAGGCCGACGTTGGTTCATATGGAGGCAGTAGAGGAGAAAGTGGACAAATTGTTGGAGGCTAGAGCCATTCGGGAGGTAAACTACCCAACTTCGCTGTCAAACACAGTTGTTGTGAAAAAGAAAAATAGGAAGTGAAGGGTCTGCATGGACTTCACCAGCCTAAATAAGGCTTGTCCCAAAGACAGTTTTCCACTCCCCAAGATCGATCAATTAGTAGATGCCATTTCAGGGCATACAAGGATGAGCTTCCTGGACGCTTACAGAGGATACCATCAGGTAGCAATGTATCTCCCCGATGAGCAAGGCGCGCGAGCCGAGACCTCCGGGAACTCCAAACAAACACAAACATGGAAGATCACCGCGTGTTCAAACGGTGACGTCCAAGCCTTAAGGACGGTCAGAAATGGGGTGTCTACAGTTGCCCCTCTTTGACAGAACTCGAAAGTCATAACAATGACGGGAGTGAATGTCAAAGCCCAGAGACGACCCATTTTTGACAAGGCCGAAGACTCAGACAAACATACAAGACAAATAAGATATGCGCCCGAAGGCAGGGGCAAAATGCAAGACAATGCACGGAGCCGAGCATAACTTATGATCATGCAAAGACTCAGACAAACATACAACATGGCCGGCAAGTCGCTTACTCGATTGGCCAGACAGAAAAATGTCGAGAGCATGGCTACTCGTGGGAAAGCCGAGGCCGAGCGAAATGAACCTCCACCCCCTCCACTTGACACTAGGGAAAAAACTCCACCTGCTCTCGTTGAGGAGGTGATTCAGACCGACGTGGATGAAACAGAGCCTGTTGTCGATGAACAGGACCAAGTGATAGAAAAAATTGGGGAAAAACGTCCGGCCGAACAAGAAGCCAGTTATTCGGAGGACCTAGTGGATAAACGGCCACGAATGGAAGAGTCGAATTTGGTCAAGCCGTTTATAATACAACCAAGGATAAGGAACATGCCTGTTACTTCCGATGCATCGGTTGTAAAAGATCCAGCTGTGGCCTTGAGTTTGGCCTCGTCCATTTCTCAACCGGTTAATAGAGCAACCTTTAGGGCAGAGCACGATCTGCTGTCCATCACGTTAGCCGCTCAATCGGCGATATTGGTACGTGATCCTTGTTCGTAATTTTTGCAAGGCTAACCAAAAGAAAATTCATATTGGCTTACCGATTTCTTGGTTTGTAGGCGGCAGGAAGGATTGCAAAGATTAGCTGTCACCACATGACGCTATTGAACAGATCGGCTTTCTCACAGCCGAAGTGGAAAATGAGAAGGGGAAGGTAGCAGAGGCCTCTCTCAGAGCCGAATCTGAGGCCATGAAAGCGATGGCAGAGAGAGGGAGAGCCGATGTCGAAGAAGAAAAGGCCAAAGCTACTGACCGACTGAGATTGGCCACCGAAGAGAGGGCGAATGCCAATGAAGAAGTGCTTAAATTGGCCAATGAGACAATTTCCAAGTTGGAGGCCGATCTGGAGGAGTTGAGGAGGGCGATGGCAAACGCCGAATCCAAGATTTGCAAGTCATTTCAAGCTGGCAAGGATGCGGTCTTTGTCGGATTATGTAGAAGAATTACCGAAGTTCGAGAACAGTGGGTTCAAACATGGCTGGCTCAAAGCCTTAGCTGCCGCTAACGTGGTATCGGAGCAGCCGATTCCGTATGAGCAGGTAGAGAAGGGAGAACACTCGCGGAGTTGGACGCAGAGATGAATCGAGGTTGCGAGCCTATGCGTACGGGGAGAAGGACGTCGAGGGAACGTGAAAAATGCCAGTCCCCACGTCATCGAAGTAGGTCACCCATAAGGGAAAAATAGCAATAGGGCAGCTCTCCTCTACCATGCTCGAGAGGAGAAACCAGTGCGACACCGTGCCCATTAAGTTTTACGATTTTTGTAGGGAACAAACCGAAGACGGAAGCGAATTCAGTTGTGCACGACCCAAATGTGGCAGTCGAGTTCGCTCGACAAATTTTTCCACCAGAAGTCCAGCAGTCGATGGTCGGTCAACCTGATTTCGAAGTGTTTTGGGAGGGCATCCATGGAGCGGTGAAAGGGCTGTATACCGCGTATGAAATTGGCATGCGTCTTCATGCCGCGTGGTGGGAGATAGAGCAGAAGGATGAACGCATTCGAAGCTTAGAAGCTCACGCAGAGAAGGCTGAGCGTGAACTGAGAAAGGTCAAATCTGCCGAGACACAATCGGCCGGCCAAGCTAACCCGATTGTGGAAGAAAGGGTGACCCAACGGCTTATAAGTCATGCTATTGCCAATCGAGATACGACAAGCATGTTTACAATAAAGGCCGCAAGGACCAGGGCTTATGAAAAAGGCTTCCACGAGGGCCGAAAAGTTGGGATACAGAAGACTAAGGAAAATCTCGCTGAGGAGGTCTGCCGATGCGAGAATCGGGGATTTAAGCACGGGTGGGTCAAGGCTCTCCAGGCCGCAGATGCTCTTCGGGCAACAGGTGTTGATTTGGCGTCGCCGCTATAGTAGAGTCATCATTTTCCCTTTGTGGCTTTCGAAGTTGAGAAGAGCAATGACGAGGGGAGTGCTGAATAAAACTGAACATATTGTATTGCTCTAACATAGATTGGGAGCGAATTATGTGTTATCGATTAATTCAATGAAACATATTTTTTTAAATGTTTGCGTGTTGTTTCAATTTATGTTTATGAATTCAGTTATGATCATCTTTCATATTTCGTCAACTGCGTTTATGCTTATCAATCATAATACACGAAAAGCACACCGAATTCGGAGGCTTTTATCTTGGCCAATCGTGAATTCCACGAAGGGCGCCCCGAATCCAGAGTCTCACTCAGCCCAAAAGTGTTATTCACTGATGGGGCTCCAAATTCGGAGGATTTCATCTTGGCCAATCGTGATATCCACGAAGGGCGCTCCAAATCTGAAGTCTTACTCGGCCCAAAAGTGTCCTTCACTGATGGGGCTCCAAATTTGGAGGCTTTCATCTTGGCCAATCGTGATATCCACGAATGGCACCCCGAATTCGGAGCCTTACTCGGCCCAAAAGTGTCATTTACTGAAGGGCGCTCCGAATCCGGAGTCTTACTCGGCCTAAAAGTGTCATTCACTGATAGGGCTCCAAATTCAGAGGCTTTTATCTTGGCCGATCATGATATCCACGAAGGGCGCTCCAAATCAAAAGTCTTACTCGGTCCAAAAGTGCCATTCACTGATGGGGCTCCGAATTCGGAGGCTTTTATCTTGGCCAATCGTGATATCCACGAAGGGCGCTTCGAATCTGGAATCTTACTCGGCCCAAAAGTGTCATTCACTAATGTGGCTCCGAATTTGGAGGCTTTTATCTTCGAACTAAAATTTCATATAGTGAGATAAGAAATTTTGCATTATAAAAGTGAAAGTTGTACAAGGTGAATATTCAAAACAAGTTATCATGCCCCATAAGTCGGGTTAATGATAAAATTTATGCAAATGCGTAGAATTCCAAGGACGTGGCAGACATCTCCCAGACATGTCTTTGAGCCGATATGTCCCTGTTCTCACGATTGAATCGATCTGATAGGGGCCGTCCTAGTTAGGACCCAATTTTCCATTAGCCGAATTCCTGGTAGCTGGAAGTACTTTCTTGAGGACCAACTCTCCTGGTGTATAGCAGCGTAGCTGAACACGTTGATTACACGACTAAGCAAGCTGCTGCTGGTACTGTGCCATGGATGCAAGGGCACAGTCTCTTCGTTCTTCAATCAGAGTCAAATCCAAGGCCAACATCATGTCATTTCGGCCCATATCAAAAACTTTTGAGTTCAAGGTTGGGAGGCTGATCTCCAAGGGGATGATTGCCTGGGTTCTAAAGCATAAAGCAAACGGTGTTTCCCCAGTGGATCGCCTCGGAGTAGTGTGATGAGCCCACAACATACTCGGCAATTCTTCGACCCATCTACCTTTAGCTTTCTCCAGCCTCTTCTTAATGCCATCCAAGATGGCTTTGTTGGAGGCTTCAGCTTGACCATTGCTCTGTGGATAAGCTAGGGTGGGAAAATAGGGCCGAATACCATATGTGCTGCACAATTCTCAGTAGACGCCATAATCAAACTGGGTGCCGTTGTCTGAAATAAGTGCTCTTGGAATGCCGAATCATGTTATGATATTTCTTCATACAAAACGCTTCACATCAGTATCTCGAATGTGCATGTTTTGATTGCGTAGACCGCATGTTTTGCCTGCGTAGACCGCATGTTTTGATTGCGTAGACCGCATGTTTTGCCTGCGTAGACCGCATGTTTTGATTGCGTAGACCGCATGTTTTGCCTGCGTAGACCGCATGTTTTGATTGCGTAGACCGCATGTTTTGCCTGCGTAGACCGCATGTTTTGATTGCGTAGACCGCATGTTTTGCCTGCGTAGACCGCATGTTTTGATTGCGTAGACCGCATGTTTTGCCTGCGTAGACCGCATGTTTTGATTGCGTAGACCGCATGTTTTGCCTGCGTAGACCGCATGTTTTGATTGCGTAGACCGCATGTTTTGCCTGCGTAGACCGCATGTTTTGATTGCGTAGACCGCATGTTTTGCCTGCGTAGACCGCATGTTTTGATTGCGTAGACCGCATGTTTTGCCTGCGTAGACCGCATGTTTTGATTGCGTAGACCGCATGTTTTGCCTGCGTGGACCGCATGTTTTGATTGCGTAGACCGCATATTTTACTTGCGTAGACCGCATGTC